GGTTAGATGAACACCTTGCTGGGGTCATTTGACCCCAGTACTCTTTCCTGCCATGGCAGGGGGTCGGACTAGATGATCTGCTCAGGTCCCTTCCGACCCTAGAAACTATGAAACTATGAAATAAACAACTGCATCATATATGTCAACCTCAATCACCAAGGTCTCCACTTGAAAAGAATAACTTACAGGACCCTAAATTTTGACTTACCATTTGGGTCAAACAGGGTAACATTTTGTAGCACAGAACCACAACACAGATTCACATGTTAACTACTACTGTTTTGCGTAGGATTGAAATGCTATTAAGACAAAAATCTATCTTCTCTCTTACCCTACAAGAGGATGAATAGCTCAGGTCAAGGTTAAAACCACTACAGTTTAAATGGGCCTGACTGGAGGCATAACAATGGTTTTCCATTTCATGCCTACCAATTCTTTAACTTCCATGAGCCCCATGTTATCTGCTCTGAACAGTGCTATGCAGTTTTTCACACTGAAAGGGGGATTAATTGAGAGTAGGGCCCCAATTACTTTTTGCAATTATTTCTTATGCAAATTATCTTTACTCACATAAGTAGTCCAATTTAAGACAACAGGAAGATTTACATGAGTAAGTGAAGCAGTACAGAGCCATATTATAGTAATATATACCAGTTCATCAGGGGAAACTTTTGCAATAAGAAAAATTACCGGTAAACACAATAATAAAATAAAGCCTAATTTAATAAAGGTTTTTTAAACTCATTTAACAAAAGATCAGGTAGGAATAATTTCTTCAAATGACTGGACACACTACATTTTCCTAATACCAGCTCCTACTAATAACTAAAAAGACAGAGAAATAACTGGCATTAATCTATTCCTTCTTTTTACATAAGGGACGAAGTATTCTTCTATGTTTAGAAACTGATTTAAGTAAAATATAAACTAATCATCTAGAATGCCCTAAGAACAAGACGTATTAGTCTGCAGAAGAGTATTCCTGAGAGTAAATGATAGAAGACCCTTTTTCTCAAATCATTTAATGATAAATAATACAAAGCACTGGAGATTATAATGTAAGAATCGTGCTGAGGATGGAGTGAGGAGACAGGCTATATGATCTAAGAAATTAGAGATTACAGAGATCTATGATGCAGTATTTATGTATGAGCCCTGTGGGCCTCCTTCACTGTTCTTAATTTAGTCTTCATTATCCCTGATCTGGTGTAATAGTCCTCTACTGGAATGGAGATTAATGTCTAACAAATCTTGAGCCTCTCCTGGCACTTCAGAGGCATCAACAGCCTCTGTTTACTGCCATATCATTTTGCCTTGCACGTTTAGTACAATGAACAACAAACCCTAATATAAATGTATTACAGACCTGATGTCTGTCTTTTTAAAGCCTCTAGAGGTCAGGTTAATCTAATGCTCGTTTCCAGCAGAAGTGGTTCCCCTAAACAAGACTGACACCTGCTGGGGTTTTCTGCTTTTTGAAACCATCCTTCACTTGATCTTAGTTGGTTTCTCAGAATCCTTCTTTTTTTCTGCAAACTGTGGCGTCTTTGCTGCACCATTCACAGATGCACAGCAGGCAAAGCTCATTTAAAAACATTGAAACAAATCTGGCTGCTGTGACAGAATTTACATTTAGGTCTGTCACTGTCCAGATAGTCTAATACGGTTTGAAGCAGTCAGGACTTGTAGTAGAGATGATATTTTTTATTAGACCAACAAGATTTTTGCACAAAAAAAATCTATTTGCAAATTGGCAAAAATCTTGGTGGTCTAATAAAAGATATCATCTCTACTACGGGTCCTGATTGCTTTTTCCTTTAGACCAATATGGCTACAACCTGGATACCTGACTAATAGATTTGTAAGTTCCAAGATGAAAAGAACATATTTGTGTTTCGACCACAAATTGAGTGATCCTCCTGGGGGCAGCTATCCAATGGGGTAAGGTAAAGTGGGACAGTCTGTGTTTGGAGCACCTTTTCTAGCCCCCTCCTCATGCAGGGTGAGCAGAGGGGATCCTAAAAAGGACTGCTCAGTCACAATCGCAGCTGCTGAATCCCCTCCTGTCCCATACCAAGGGTGAAGTGATCATAGCACAACCACCACCGACCGGCATGCGGATCCATGACTAGAGACTCCTGGCAATCACTTTGTCTGTCCCAACACTGACAAGTGCAAGGTGCTGCACCTGGGGAGGAAGAACCAGCACCATACCTACAGGCTGGGGAACTCCCTTCTCGTCAGTGCAGAGGCAGAAAAGGATCTTGGAGTCGTCATTGATGCCAAGGTGAACATGGGCCGACAGTGTGGGGATGCAGTCAGGAAGGCCAACCGCACCTTGTCATGCATCCACAGATGCATCTCGAGCAGGTCCAA